GTGTACAAGTTAAGCAAAGCAGCACCAGCTTGTGACGTGGTAGTATGTCTCTACTTTCCATTGAAATAAATGGTGTTGTAACAAAATCATGCCTTGCCTGACTGTACTGTATTGTACGTCCCAGATTCCATATGGTAAGTGTCCAGAGATGTCATTTATTTAGCCCTTGGGCTTCTTTTCATCTAAGTATCGCTCCATACATCAGTCATGAGCTTTCTAGGCCACTTAGTGAGGATGCTGAGCTGTTCACAGTTGTTCGGTTTGTAACTCTATTTGGCTGTGCTGGCTTTTTTTATTTGTTCTCACATGGTATTGGTTTTCAGTGCATAAACAATAAAATATTTAAATACAGATGATACTTGTCAAACAAATCAGTTAGGGGCCAGTAGCTGAGAAGAGTGCTGGGGTGGCGCACAGAGAGAATCAAACATCCCCTTCTACTCTGCCAAATGCAGCTCCAAACCCTTGAGGCTGCAATAGGCCCCGCTTGCCTGCAGGGACAGCCCTTCCACAGGGGAGATTGGGGAGATTCACCAGGTAGCTGTACCCCACCCCACCCTTGCACATAGCTCCCACTGCCCTCTTCCACATAGGCACAGAAACAATTTCAGTGGGAGCTGAGTTCTGTGCATCTTCCCTGGCACAGGGGGAACTGTACTGGTTAGTGTGCCAGGGCTCCCTCTCTAGCCACTAAGGTAGAGGCAGAATTTGCCTTTTTTGGCAGATAGAGTAAATAGAAATTAGAAATATATTGTATTACAGTATATACCAAAAGGAAAGAAAAAACAGATAATACCCATATAAAGGTCAAGATAAGCACCCCATATTTTATTTAAAACATTTACGTTACCTATCATTTCAAAGGAAAAATCATTCCATCATTGTGCATGGGGATCGTTATTATTTATTTTTAAAGATTGGCTTGTCATTGAAATTTGATCTGAACAGGATCACACTGGGTTAGTTTGAGGTACTCAGAGTTTGGATCTAGGCTCAAATTTTAGTTGCATAGTCCATGGAACCTCACACCCAAATATATGACATGGTGATGTTTAGGTGTGAGGCCTGCCCAGGACTACCTGCCAGTGCTTTATAGCACAGATGGCAGGATAGGGCCAGGTGAATGAGGAAGTGCAGACAGTGTCCTCATTCTCTGGAACTGGGCAGACTTATTCTTGTCCAGACTCTTTACCGTGGCTGGTATGGGTTTGCAGAGTGTTACCTTGGAAATATGTTGTCACAGATCAGAGTTTACCAAAGGAGAACCCAGGAGATTTGGATTTAGCTTATTGGATACCAACCCATCCATTTCAGATGGGTTCAGATATCTTAATTTGTCTAATTGTTTATTCAGCCTCAGAAATTAGTTGCATTTTGTCTATCCCAATTTAAAATGTCTGTCCTGCTATTCAAAAGCTTCCCTGGCCTGGGTTCAAGATATATAAGTGATCCCCTCTTCCCCCATGACTTCCTGCAGTAACTTTTCCATGCCAACCAGGCGTATTGAGGACAAGGGATGGGATTTTTACAGGACCTGGGACCTAATCAATGGAGCTTTCTTCTGCAAGAGATCAGAACAAGCATACATCTTGCCCCATTCAGAATGAAATGCAACACTCATCTCTTTGACTTAGCTTTCTCGCAGTCACCTCTTCACACAGATACTTCACTCATTCTCTCACATTCACAACTTCTATGTACTTTTCAAGTTGCCTCTTACTGTGAGGTGGGGTAAGAGTGTTAACTTCCATTTTAACACCTCCGGGGTATGGAAATACCATAGGAATGAGGACTATGTAAACAACCCAATCTATTTTTAACATAGCCATCACCTTAGAGCCTGGGTGCTCAGGATTACATTGCACTCCAGCACTGCCCCTTTCCTGTCCCAGAATGCCACCTACACTGAGGGCAAATGCCATGCTGACCTTAATACGTCGGCATTAAATCCCTTTTGTGTCTGCGCAGGCAGTGCAGCTTGGACTTAGGCAGGGCTGAGGCCCCAATGTCAAACGCGGATGAAAATACTAGCAGCAACACATACTGTGATGCAAATGTACATACAGCATGAAAAAGCAGTGGCTGAATTCTAGTTGGGATTTTACAGTGGAGCTTGGACAAATGTGAATACCTAAGACTATGAGGTTGGTATAGTTCTAGTCATAAGTGATCTCATTTGCCAAGTGGAAAAGTAACAGGAATAAATGAAGCTGCACCTCTTTAAATCCCAAGAGACATTGAGGTGACAATTAAAAACAAAACAAAACAGAAGAACAGAATCCCTCCATTATTCTACAATATGAGTATTGACATTTTTATGGCCTATTTTATAAGCAACACCTCACACAAGTTTAAAGATTGTGGATTTGCAGACAGATGTGTCAACCTTAATTGTTCAGTCATTTTTCACACATCCAGTGATGAATATTTTGCATGAGTGCCAATTCATCTAAGATAGCTAAGAAACCATAAAGTGGCCAAAATCAGAGAAGTGCAGAACTAGTCTGAAACATTTTAAATAGTTTGAAACTCACACTGTTTGATGATTTGTGGGTGTGGGAATAGTCTGTAAGTAACTAGAGAATGTGAGAATAGAAGGAGCCATGATTCGTCTGTTCTCACAGCACATATATAACAGCAAATGCTCATATTTTTGAAGTGAAATGTTAGGAGGTAAATTACATTATTTTCTAAGCAGTCTGAGAGTGTAAACCTGAAGTATTTTGGAAAGGGTGGAGAATGCAAATCTGTTGATATACTGTTATACAATTGACAACATCTTAAGACATTCCACGGAATTAGTTATCTGTTAGAGGAAGGAGTTTCAGGCAAATGTAGTTATTTTAAACATCCTATAGAATAGGTATAGTGAGCAAGGCATGATTGCCTTCTAATAATTTTGAATAGTGACCAACACATCCTAAAAGCTTTTGTTACAGTAAGTATGGAACATCATGTGCAACCTTCATTTTCCCACAGGCACAGCTTCAGACAATTAATAACAAAGTATTAAATGATTAATCTCTGTCTCTGGCAAGAAAACAAGTATTTGACAGATAATCGGATAGACTAAGCCAAATTTTTGAAAGTGGCCAGTGATTTTTGGGTGCCCAATTTGAGACACCTTGAAAGGGTTAGCTTTTCAGAGGGTGAATGCTCAGAACTTTCTGAAAGGTCTTTTAAGGTGTCTCAAATTGGGCATCCCAAATCAGCAGTAGCAAGAGGCTCTCTGGAGAGTATGTAGTGAAGAGCAGTTCTAGGCTCAGTTCTTCTTTACTCACCGTCTGGAAACAATTGCAGTGAGACCTGGTGCCAAGGAGTTGTCTTGGTACAACCTATTTACAGTGGAGTAAAACCTCAGCATGAGCAGGGTGAAGATTCACTATAAAGCAAGTGGAAGTCTATTTAATTACTGAATTGGAGACTTTTGTTTCTACCACCCGATCAAGAGAACTTCCTTGGATGGTACGTTCCCTTTAATCAGGTTTGATTGAATGTTCAGACTTATTTAGTTTATTCTACTAGCAAAGACCCACTTTGGCTAAAAATACTCCAGAGAAGCTGGAGCTATGCACATTACAAGATTGATCTGTCTGAAAAATCTTCCAAATACCCAGATGTACAGATTAGGCAGACACACATTAAGCAGGCCCATGACTTTAAAAGAATTAATGGTTTAATCTCAATATTAATGTGGCACCTTTGCTTTGTTTTGTAATAAATTATGTACCTAAAACAAGTGTATTGGCTGAAATGTAAATTGGAAATATAGCTGAAACACACTCATTTTTCTTAATTTTAATACAGCATTCCTTTGGTGGGATCAGTAAATCAGAACTACCTAATCCCTAAAACAGCTTGAAAACACCATATTTATTCAGATTTAGAAACTAAACATTCCAGTTGAAAAGGTCAGTGGCACAGACAGCATGTGCTATAAGATTGGTAACTTCTCAAATCTTCTCAGTTGTGAGACAGCTGGATAAACAAAGCATGGATCAGCTAGGTCTGGCTGTAAGCCTGCAGAGCGCCTTCATCTGTAGCTTTCTGTCATTAGTAGTTCACAGAACTAAGACAACATTTGGAGAGAGAAAGGTGGTGCTGTGGATGGGTACACTGGCCTTTCACATCTCCAGACTAGAGTTGAAAAGCTTTTAATCATGAGTCAAATGAAGCTGGTGGTCATATCCTAGTCCTTAGCGGACATTTGCTCATATCACAGAACTTCGTAATCTGTCATAATTTGGCATGATTGACAATATTATTCCCAGGAATATGATATAAGCAATGCCATTGCAGATCAGGAATGAGATGTATTAACAATTCTTGTCAGGAAACTTACATAGTGCTTGCCTAGCACTAGCCAGCGATGTTATTACTTCACTGAGCACAAAATACTTTTACAAATAGAGTAACATCTTTAAAAAAAAAATAGAGCAATTAACTCATTGATGCTTGGGTCCAAACTTTATGGTCTCTGTCCCAGCAATGAACTTATTGAACTGGCGGGGCAAAGCAGTGGCATTTTACAAATCAATGAGAATTCAGTCTTCGAAGCCCATCAAGCTTACCTGGTCAATACTAGAAAATGTGGCTTATTTTAAATGTGCACGTCACATTATTCATTCGTTGTCCATTCGGGTCTCCAGTTAGGTGCCTGTGACATGTGGTTCAGTATAACTCAACTAAAACACGACTCTGGGTTAAGCAAACAAATCTGAAGTTCTTTTCTCCTGAGCTGACAACCCTGCCATGAAACAGCTCTTCCTGGATCTCCACTGCACAACCCGGTGCATTTATTTTCTGCTAAACCAAGTATCTTAGGCACAATATTGTCTCCATAGCACCAGAGCTCAGTGTCTCCAACACTGTTCTCCAACTGCCTCCTCTCTATTCTCTCTGCTCTTATCCAGTGCAATTCAGGAAATTCTTCTAATGTTAATCACCATACTCCTCTTTTTTTAATTACTTTGTACTGTGGATTTATTTTTATCTTGCAGACTGGAACAAGCGTATTGAGTATAAGCCTGGCTCTGGCAGCATACCTTTGTTTCCCAGCATTCATCTGGAAACCTGTGATGGACCTGTTTCCTCAATCCAGACCACTATTGAATTGCAAACCAATTACATTGGCAAGGGTTGTGACCGAGAGACATACTCTGAGAAATCACTGCAAAAATTATGTGGTATGTGCTTGGTTTTCAGTTTACTTATTAATTCCTTTTGTCCAGATAAAGCACTTTTCCCATAAACACAGAGACCAAGTAGCTACTGTATATGTGGTTTTACAGATGCACAATGCCCATTATAGCTAACTGACTGGTACCCATAGGAATTAACAAGATGGCATGATGTGACATCAGAGGTAGTTCCTGCTTCTCTTTTCCACTCTCTTTTCATTACGTATTCCGATCTTATTTTCAATTCTCCTCTCCTTCCTCTCTTCCCCTCTTTATCTTCTTTTCTTCTTCTCATCCTTCTCCCTTCCCTTCATTCATGATGTGGATGATTTATTATTTCTATTTTGGCGGCACCTAGGGCTCTGATCCGTGTTTATCAGACCAGGAGCTGTACAAACAAATAACAGATTATTATGAAGACCTTAGCACTTCACCCACATGAAACTGTAACTCCTATTCCAATGACACTTTCTAATTTCATTGCACCAAACAAATCCACCTAAGAAATGTCATGCAGTCCTTTGCCAGAGTTTAAAAAAAAAATTGGAAAGTTTGGGAGACTATGGACAAAAGGAAAGGAGTACTTGTGGCACCTTAGAGACTAACCAATTTATTTGAGCATAAGCTTTTGTGAGCTACAGCTCACTTCATCGGATGCAATGTGGAAAATACAGAAGATGTGGAATATAGAAGATGTGGAAAATACAGAAGATGTTTTTATACACACAGACCATGAAAAAATGGGTGTTTATCACTACAAAAGGTTTTCTCTCCCCCCACCCCACTCTCCTCCTGGTGGGGAGAGAAAACCTGGATTTGTGCTGGAAATGGCCCACCTTGATTATCATACACATTGTAAGGAGAGTGATCACTTTAGATAAGCTATTACCAACAGGAGAGTGGGTTTAGGGGGTGGGGTGGGGAGAAAACCTGGATTTGTGCTGGAAATGGCCTACCTTGATTATCATACACATTGTAAGGAGAGTGATCACTTTAAATAAGCTATTACCAGCAGGAGAGTTGGGTGGAGGGAGAGAAAACCTTTTGTAGTGATAAACACCCATTTTTTCATGGTCTGTGTGTATAAAAACATCTCCTGTATTTTCCACAGTATGCATCCGATGAAGTGAGCTGTAGCTCACGAAAGCTGATGCTCAAATAAATTGGTTAGTCTCTAAGGTGCCACAAGTACTCCTTTTCTTTTTGCGAATACAGACTAACACGACTATTACTCTGAAATATGGACAAAAGGTATTTCAGAGATGGATAGTTTCTACAAAAGATATTCTGACTCAGTGAAGAGTTTCCAAATGTGTTTTGCCCCTTTATTCAGTAACTCAATATAGGCTTGAACTAGATGCTCCAAATTTGTTTTGCTGTGCAGGTATCACCAACAGGAAAAGTGTCCTGCTATTCTTGGAAGGCAAGAGGACTATTTAGTTAGTTATTAGTTAGTTAAGAAAAAAAGTATTTTGATACACCTATGACCTGAAATTTTTATTTCTATGTGTGGACTCTGGTATAGTTCCTGAGCATTGGAGTGGCCAGCACTCCAGCTAAAGGCTTGTGTAAGATTTTCACTTCAGGATGTCAACAGACTGTCAAGCCACACTGTAGAGCCATGTACACTTTACCTTGTGATGTCTGCAACCCCAGGGTGTGTCATTCCTAAGACTTGTATCTGAACTGTCATCAGTGTGCGGTTAGGCAGTCTACAGCTCCAGAGTGCATCTTTCCTAAGACCCATGTCTAAGCTTCCATGACATGTGTTCTAGGATACCTACAATCAATACAACTTTTCCATTTGAATTCATAACTTTTCTGTTGTACTCTATTAATTGGCTTAAATTTGCTTTGATAACACCACTGCAATGCTGCACAGATGTACAGATCAATAAACTAACCCTTTAGAAAATAATTTTGGGCCTGAAAATGTCTCAGGCAACTTTACCAAACATTTTTTAAAAATCTAAAACATTTCCCAGGCCAAAAACTTTAATTTGGGATTAAGATTATAAATATCTATCAGTTACTTGGAGCGTAAACAAGAAGTAAAAGAATGTTATTGTCCTCATAAAATCTACAGATATTAGCTTGGAAATTGCACAGCTAAGGTAACACAAACAACCATAATTTTACTCCTGTATCATAATCCAACTAACAGAGATACCACAAAAGCATGAGAAAATCTGTCTACAAGCAGCACTCATCTTCATCATATTAGTGATATTAAAACTGAGACATTGATCTATCTGGGCAACCTGTTCATAGATCAGTGGTTTTCAACCTGTGGTCCACGGACCCCCAAGGGTCTGCAGATTATGTCTCGGGGTCTGTGAAAGGTTGTCATTAACATAGAACAGTAGTTTTCAACCTGTGGTCTGTGGACACCATGTCTGAGATTTCCAAAGGAGTTCGCCATTCAAAATTTGTTAGTGTTTTTGCAAAAGAAAAAGTTTGAAAACCATATTGATAGACGATTGTGTACCACTTTAGCTTTTAAATAAAACTAAACGTGTCTTCACATTGCAGTAAAATACTCTTGCCTTTTTCAAGACCCATTGCAGGCATCAGAAAAACATAGGTTTATATGTCTCTTCAACAAAAATTGACTTCATTTGGGTAATCATTCAGGACAATTTCACCAAAATACATATGGTTTCAGATGAAGAAGGGTTACTCTGTAAGATTTAGAAAAGATATGTAGCAACCATATCTGGGGATATGAATCTTTTAAGGGCAGGACCCAAACTAAGTAAGTTATATGCCAGGAATGTGGGATGACAGGGATCATACATACATGCAGTATCACTGATACATGTATACAAAAGCAGAGATTCTCAGCTCAACACTCTGAGGAAACTACTTCAGCAAGCAAGACTTTAGACTTAAACTAGGTTTTGATAAGAACTTTACTCAAGGTGGAAGGTTGGTAGATTTAAGGGGCAGAGTTAAGGTTAGATGTGAGTTTCTAGGCTTTCTCGTTCAGGTGACACTTGAAAAAGAAATTCCAATCTTTCTAATGTTTGCTTTTTGAGTAAACTACGTTTTTAAAGGGCTACTTTTTCCCCTTGAGTAACTGATAAGTATTTACAGCCTTAATTCAGGGTTAACATTTTTCCTAGGAAGAATATCTGCAGGTTAAAACTGATAGAGAGAGGCACGATCATAAATACTTCAGCAGGTCTTATAGTGTTAGTGTATCCAGTAGAGGAAAGTGTTTTGGAAGATGGACAGACACAATGACTAACAATACTGTATTATTGCTTAGGTGAGAGCTATTCTCAGCACATCTATAGAGGAATAGAATCTTTAAATCCAGAAGAGAAAATAGATGGAATGCAAAATATCATTGTAAAATGGGAAAAATTCAAATGGACTCAAGGATATGCTCCTGTGTCTGGATTTCCTGTGTTCATAGAGAAGAGTAGATGTGAAAGACAGACAGACAGATACTGATGACAGGAGTTTGCTTGAAAGGGTTATAAAAGAAAATGAGTTTTGCATCAGAATTGCATTTGGAGTGGTTTAAATGCCTGTATTTAGTATTTACTGCCTGTCCCTACTTCAGAGACGGCTCATAGGAAAGCAGGTTAATTATGTTTAGAAAACTGTTTTCTCCCAGAAATGATCTGATCGTGTGTAATAGTTTGAGGAACAAATTCTTTGAAAGGAACAACCTGCATATCTTGATGTCAGTGAAGTACCATGCAATTGCAGGGAGAGTGCAATGTTGAGTGATTACAGAGAAATGATCACTTGTGCCACATAGAGCACAAGACTCTCTCAAGCCTTTGTAATTAAGGCCCCAATTGATAAATCATGTGTTCACTGCTTAGCTTATCTGGTGGACATCCAGTGAATTCAACTGCTGAAGAAGGACAAGACATTAAAATGCAGTCATTTATCTTTCTGTTCATTTATACCTGCCATTCAATGTGCCAGTGATTCACTCCCACTTTGACAATCAAGGTATGCAATGTAATTTCCAGAAAAGATCGGTGTAACAGGAGCTTTAAAAAAAAAAGGGAATCCTCAGCTCAGATGATGAAATTATGCTTCTTGACTCATTTTAAAATATAGGGAATTTGGAAAAAAAAATCTATAGTCTTCTGCAAAAGTACAGTACTCCTTCCCACCCCACCCGCTACTAAAATAACGTTTAGACTAAACAAATCAGTTAAGGCTGGACAACAGGGGATGAATGATTATGCTGCTATTTCCCTTCTCCCAATATATTTGTATAAAAATAAAATCATAGGGAACTGCTAACATCCCCATTTGACAGATCGGGAGCTGAAGCACAGAGATATTAAGGGATTTGCCTAAGACCACCCAAGAAGTCTGTGGCAGAGCAGGGAGTTGTACCCAGGCCTCTCAAGTCCCAGTTGGTGCCCTAACCACTAGGGCATCCTTTATATGCTAAAGGTCAGCGTTGGCACAAGAACAAATTGATATAAACTGGTTGTGAACAAAGTCAGGCTGGAAACTAGAAGAAGGTTTCTAACCATCAAAGGGGTGAGGTACTGGAACAACCCCCCTATAGGAGTTGTGAGGGGAAACAACTTAATTAGTTTTAAGAAAGAGCTGGAGAAATCTGTGAGTACAATGAAGTTGCTTGTGATGGAAAGAGGCAAGGCCCAGCAGTCCTGCGGTTCACTTCTGGTTTATATCGTAAGTTCCTAAAAGCCCATGCTTCAGGGTTTCAGCTGGTCACTTGCAGGGGTCAGGAAGGGACTCCCCACTGCCACACACATACCCCAAATGTATTCTGGTTTTGTTTGTTTTAATCTCCTTCCTCTGAAGAATAAGGGATGGCCACGGCTGAAGATAGGACATTGAACAAGGCACTGAGCGTTCTCTGTCTCAAAGGCCTGGCTGGTTGGTTTTTGCACATGTACTCAGGGTCTAACTGATCACCATATGTGGAGTCAGAAAGGAGTTTGTCCCCAGGTCAGATTGGCATTTTTCACCATCCTCTGCCACGTGTGAGTGTGAGTGACTTG